CTTGATATTTTAATAGCTTTTCCCATAATAGCCACAGAGACCTTTTTAAGTGGCAGCCCTGACTTTATGGAAGAGACTTCAAAAAGAAAATCAAGAAGAGTTTCTTCTGCTTCAGGGCAGAGGCAAAATATGTGCATGACTCAAGATGGGCAAGCAGAGAATTATTATTATTATTATTATTATTATTATTATTATCGTCATTATTATGTTATTTTGGCAAACCACAGGCCTAAGTTAATAATTACTCAGAATTTCTGTGCAGCTTTCACTATAGAGAAGATAATGGAAACGAAGAAAAATAAGGTTCCAGCATGTCCTGGGTCTGTGCAGGGATGACCAGGCAGGTGCTCAGTGCCAATTGCACTCGTGGAGTTTCTTCTTTCCTTTAAAAACAGCAAAAACAGATCCAAAATTGAGTAATATTCTACGTTTGAGAGACCTGCTTTAAAGAGGAAATGAAAAGCGTGGGAAATTAGGCAAAAATCACATGAAAAGGGCCCCAGATTAGACAGGAGAGGTTTGTGATAAATTCCTCAAGGCATTAGAGCCCAGTGTGTGATCAGAAAACCAGGGGCTGCCTGTTGCCGCCGATTCCTTGTGCTCCAAGGCTCCGTGTTGGTGACTCTGGGATGGTTTCCAGCACCAGGAGCCACCTCAGGCAGTGTTTGAAGTGTCTGTTTGCGCTGGAGTTACAAATTGCCAGGGAACTGAGCTGCCTGTCACTGCCAGAGCAATTAGAGAGGGACCCCTTATCAAAAGGAGCCCGTCGAGTTGGAGAAGCCATAAATATTGCAGCAGGATCTCTCAGGAAATCTAAGTTGGAGGGAATGTTTATTTCCACACAAGCAGGTGCACTGAGAGAGGCTCCAGTCCTTGCTGCTCCCTGGGCTCGATATTCCATCAGTCCCACGGTGTTTGGGAGAGGGAGAAAGAAGGAATTAACCAGTTTTAAATGTCCTAGTGTGATAATGGCCTGCTGCTAACGTCCAGCTCTGTGGCATTTGTGCAGCTGGAGCTCCCTGGTGTTGATTGAATGCAGAATCTTTATTGTCTAGAATTTGTCTTTATTTATCTAGAAATTATCTATTGTCTTTATTTATCTATCTTATCTATTGTCTTTATTTATCTAGAAATGGGTCTCATTTAGTCCCCCCTGGGCTGGGATCCTCATTTGGAGCTGGAGGGATCTCAGCTCATCCATTTGTTTCTGTCTTTGATCAGACTCCTCTTGCACAGCCTCCTGTGCCCTGCTCACCCAGGGCTCCCAACCCTTAAATATTATATAGCAATATATTTTAAATATCTTTAAATATTATATAGCAATATATTTTAAATATCTTTAAATATTATATAGCAATATATTTTAAATATCTTTAAATATTATATAGCAATAATATAAATACAGCAACATATTTCAATATATAATATATATATTAAATATACATATTCTATATATAAAACATACTTTATATATATAATTCTATTCTATAGCAATATATTTTAAATATCTTTAAATATTATATAGCAATAATATAAATATAGCAATATATTTTAATGTATTATATATAAAACATACATATTAAATATATAATAGATAAAATATACTTTAGATAAAATTATTACTATATAAAATATAAAATTAATATATAAAAATAGAAACTTTTATATAAAATTCTATTCTATAGCAATATATTTTAAATATCTTTAAATATTATATAGAGAGAATATAAATATTTTAATATATAATATATATATTAAATAGATACAGGATATATATATATAATATGTATATAATTCTATAATATAACAATATATTTTAAATATCTTTAAATATCATATATCAATAATGGCCTGCTCCTAACATCCAGTTCTGTGTCATTTGGGCAGCTGGAGCTCTCTGGCATTGATTGGAAGGCGGAGCTGCACTTTCAGATCTTTACTGTGCTCCTCAGTTTTATGCAGCCAAATTAACAGAGTTTGAAGGTGGCTTTGGGGGAGGTTTTGATGTTTTGCCCTCTAGAAATGGATCTCCTTTAGTTCCTGCCACCATCTGGGAGGGATCCCAGCTCCATTTGTTTCTGTCTTTGATCAGATCTGCTCCTCCTCTTGCAGAGCCTCCTGTGCCCTGCTCACCCAGCTCAGCTCCAGTGACAGAATGATCCCAGACTTTTTAACGGAGACAGAGCCTGGGAAAAGCTGCTACAAGCATTACAGGGCTGGAAAGCGTTGAAAATGCCAGCACAAGGGCTCTCCATGGCTCTCACCAGCAAAGAGATGAGAACTCCTTAAGCCAAAGGGATCATTAGCCACAAGCACAGAACCACAGACTACAATGAAAATATTTAACCTGGAAATTAGAGGGGTTTCAGCAATTAAAGCGATACTGGCTGGCAGAGAAAAGCAGGAGCCTTTTCTGGGGTGTAACCTATGGGACCTCCTGGGGGAGGATGGGAGGGACAGGGATTGATCCAGAAATTCCACTGTTGTTCTGTGGTCATTTCACCATTTCCAGTCAGAGCAGAACTGCAGAGCTCAGGGGGGCTCTGGTGGAAACCTTGTGTGTGAAGAGTCACTCCAGTTTCAACACCTCTGTTCATGCCAGGGCAGGGATATTTATTTACCCAGTGCTGGCTGCTTCTGGAGGGGAAAGATAATTGTTCACTGAGAGTAAATTAAAAAAAAAAACAAAACAAAAAAACCCAACAAACTTAACTACTTGCAGGAAATAAGCTGGCTGAGGAGTGGTGCCGTGTTTGCTCTGAGTATCCTCTTGACATCAGCATGAGGTTCCTTCTAATGAGATGCACATATGTAAATATGATGATTAGGTATTCCCTCATCAACAGAATTATCATACCTTCCTAAAAGTCTGAGCAGGCATTTTCGGGTCCTGTTGTTAGAAATAAATAAATAAAAAGGCCAAGAATCTCCACTCAGCCTCTTCTGGCTGGGAGCAGTGGGATGTGAGGGCAGAATATATTTTCCAAAGTACCTAATGGTAGTTGAGGTCAATTACAGCCACGACTCATTAGAGTATTAAAATAAGAATATGATTTTTAGTGTAATTAGCGTTCCCTTAGTCTTGTATCCACTTCAGGCTCTCTGAGTGTGTTTGGGCACTCGGCTCAGGCAGATATAACAGGGTTAGACTGCATTAACCTCACTCACAGCCTCTGCAACATCTCTCACTTCTTCTTTATGGCTCAAATAGCTTCCAAACACGCCTTATAAAACACAGAGCCCTGTCTAATTAGTCACAGAGAAGATTACAGCTGCTTAATTTAGTGTTCAGCTTTCTGCTGATTCAGAAATTCCCGAGGAATAAAGCATCCAGTGGGTGATAACTCGACTCAGGCAGTTCCTCCTCACAACTGGCTTTAAGGGGGAAGAAGAATTAATTAGGAAGGATGAAAGCAAAGCCATGGGCAGGCAGGAATGTTCATGACAAAAAGGTGAGATTCCTGTGAAATGCATTTTATTCTGGATGAAGCTGAAGGAGTAGCAGGAATATCAGATCCGTGTGCGGGCTCGGAGGCGTCACAGCTGGAAATTTGCATTTGTAGTGATGCCTTTTTCTCTGGTCCTAAAAATACGAGCCAGACACAGTTTGGGTGATAAAAGGGGCACCTTGGTGTGAGGATCCTTAAGTGCACAAATTCTTCAGGTGAAAAAAGCTGAGGATGCACCCTGATTTATGTACAATTTTTATTAATTCTGAAAATTAGCATATCTGACAAGAATGCCCCAATTAAGAACCTGCCTGGTGAATTAATTCCCCCAGTTCTGGTACCTTCTAAATTCTCCCCCCTCAGACAAGATCCAGCTTACAAAAATATGTCCCAAAAAGCAGTTTTCAGCCTTGGTTTCTAAGGAGAACCAAGACAGCACAAGGATCCTGGAATTTGTTTTGTCTTTTTGCCTAAAAAAAAATAAAATAAAAAGCTACAAATATATGTGTAAAGAATACAGAGAATATAGAAAAGAAAAATAGTTAGAAACCAAAATGGTGTCAGAGAATGTATGAAAGAAAAAAAGGTCAAAACCAAAACAGTGTGAGAGCATATATGAAAGAAAAAAAAGGTAAAACCCAAAACACCATCAGAGAATATATAAAAGAAAAAAAGGTAAAAAACCAAAATGGTGTGAGAGAATATAGAAAAGAAAAAAGGTAAAAAACAAACAGCATTAGAGAATATATGAAAGAATAAAAGAGGTGAAAACCAAAACAGCATCAGGAAAAAAGATAAAAAAAGATAAAAACCAAGATGGTGTGAGAGAATATAGAAAAGAAAAAAAGATAAAAACCAAACAGCAATAAAGAATATATGAAAGAATAAAAGAGGTGAAAACCAAAGCAGCATCAGAAAAAAAATATTAAAAAGAATATAAAAACCAAAATGGTGTGAAAGAATATATAAAAGAAAAAAAGGTGGAAACCAAAATGGTGTGAGAGAATATCTAAAAGAAAAAAGGTCAAAACCAAAACGGTGTGAGAGAATATATAAATTTAAAAAGGTAAAAACCAAAATGGTGTCAGAGAATATCTAAAAGAAAAAAAGGTAAAAGCTAAATTGGTGTGAGAGAATATAGAAAATTAAAAAAGGTAAAAAGTAAAACGGTGTCAGAGAATATGTAAATTTAAAAAAGGTAAAAGCCAAATTGGTGTGAGAGAATATCTAAAAGAAAAAAAGGCCAAAACCAAAATGGTGTGAGAGAATACATAAAATTAAAAAAGGTAAAAGCCAAAACGATGTCAGAGAATATAGAAAATTAAAAAAGGTAAAAACCAAAACGGTGTCAGAGAATATATAAATCTAAAAAAGGTAAAAGCCAAAATGGTGTGAGAGAATACATAAATTTTAAAAAGATAAAAGCCAAATTGGTGTGAGAGAATATTTAGAACAGCAAGAGGTGAGCAGGGCAGCGGCAGGCGCGGGGCTCGCTCCGCGGGCCGGGATCTCTCCGGTTTCCCCGCTCACGGCGGATCCCGTGTGTTTCAGAGCTGACCTACGCCTGGATCTTTAACGAGTACCCCACCTTCGTGCACCAGGACAACCGGCGCTTCGTGTCGCAGGAAACCGGCAACCTGTACATCGCCAAGGTGGAGACCTCGGACGTGGGCAACTACACCTGCGTGGTGACCAACACCGTGACCAACAGCAGGGTCCTGGGGCCCCCCACGCCCCTCGTCCTCAGGAACGACGGTAGGAGCCTCGTCGTGCTCCTCGTGGCACCCACGAGTTAAAAAGAGACCTGAAGTGTTTGTATTGCTGGCAAGGGGCTTGCCCTTGGTGGTTTTTCAGTGGTGGTGGAGCTGTGGTTGATGGGCAGCTAAAGTTGCTCTTCACACGGCTGGAGCGACTCTCAGAGTCAGGCAATAATTACAGAAGGAAAAGCTGCTGAGAGTTGGCCAAAGACAGGAAACAAAATAGGTTTTAGAGCCTGGATATACCAGTTTTGCTCATTTTATGCAGCCCAAAAGTGAACAAAGGCACTTTGTTGTTTCGGTAACTGTTAGCTCAGCCTGTGTTTCCCAGCAGAATTTGTGCTATTTTTAGTGGTCTGTGGAATAATACAAAAAAGGGGAGAAGAAAGCAAAAGAGGATTTCTAAATTTATACAGACAATTGATCTGTATCGTCGTCATTTATGTGCAGATAAGAAAAATACATTTGCATGTTAATTTCCAATTAAAATTAATTAAAATGTCTCTCTTTAAAGGCTAACAGTTGGGACATTTGTTCCAGGAATAGAAATGCAATGTTAGCAACTTCTCCAGGAAGAAGTTCCACTGTCACCTTGTGGGATTTGACAGAAATTCCTTGCTTGGGAAACGCAGGCTCCTCGCTGCAGCCTCCTGCCCATCAGGTTGATGAAATCCCTGTGGATCCCAAATGCTGCTGGTGGTGAGGAATTGTCCCAGCTGGACTGGGAGGGGTGGAGGTGCTGCTTTCCCAGCTCTGCTCCATATCTGCCCTCCCTTACAGGGAATTCTGTGTTCCCATAAACACAGCAGCAGCAAATCTGTCCCTCTGAGTGCAGAGAGAGTCATGGCATGGATGGCAAAAAGAGATGTTTCAATTTGCCTCGTGCTAACAATTGCAGTGCTGAAATAATATTTTTAAATATTCCAATAATAGGATTTTTTATTTTTATTATTTTTTGATTTTTATTTTTTTTTTGCAAACCCTACTGGAAGAGGGGCTTGGTACAAGGGTGTGCAGTGACAGAAGGAGGGGAAATGGCTTCAAACTGGTGGGGCAGGGATGGATTGGGAAGGAATTGTTCCCTGGCACAGCTGGAGCTGCCCCATCCCACTCTAAAGCTTTCTGGGAGCATCCAGGTGTTGAGAGCTGCTGCTCCTGCAGTATCTCCCTATTTTTCTCTAAAATGTGGGATTTTGCACCTCAAGATTGAAACAGTAACTGTGGGAAAGGACCAAAATAGTCCTGGGATGAAACTGCCATTAGCAGCAGCTGTATGGGCCAATTAAACTGCCACGTTTCACAGGTGTTGTCAGGAAATGCATATCAGAATCTCAGACAAATTCACCTCCTCCTGAATTCCTGGGAATTTCATCCCAAAGAAGGTTTTTAAGCCTTGAAATTGGAAGAAAGAGACAAAAGGCTCTGAAATGCCAACACATGGAGCACCTGATGTGCCGTGACGCTGGCAGTGCTCTCCAAGCCACAAACCCAGGGTCTGTTTTAGTCCTTCCATTTCCTCTTCCATCCCTGCCACCTGCACTGCTAAGCCAGCTGTTAAATCAGCCAGGAAGAGCAGGAAAAATGAGGATTTTCTGCATGGAAGTGATCTTGGATTCAGGATGGAGATGTCTCAACTGCTCCTATAAAGAGGAAACAGCAGGATTCACTTCACACCCTGTATGTATTTATGGAGATGGGCAGGGTGCCATTGCAGCAGGAGCCTTGTGGTTCTTCTAGGTACAAATCCTGATTTTTCCAGGCACAAATCCTGATTTTTTTGGTGGTTGGAGTTCACAGTGAGGCTGTGAGAGGCCAGAGCTGCGTGGGCTGAGGTAGCTGATGTCTCACAGCTCCAGGGAAACATTCCCACCCCACTGAGGGGTTTTATCCCCCTGGATTTCAGCTCTCCAGGCCCAGCCCAAGGCAAAGAAATGGGAATAAATAAAAAGTGAGTGAAGAGGAGGGGGAAAAGATCTCCACAAGTTCTGTCACCTGCTGCTTTGGAGACCACAGGGAAGTTCTTGGCTTAAATAAAGCTCACCCAGCAAACATTTAGCACAGATTTTGGAGAAATTTAGGCAAGATTGCAAAGATTTGGCTGGTCCCAGTTGGGAAAACAGGATTTTGAGCTTTGGGAGGGTGCAGTGTTAGCAAGCAGAGTGGCATGCCATGTAATTCTTGTTTATATGGTTTGTAAATGCTGGAATGTCACCACAGAATCACAGATTTCCTGTTTAAAGTGCTGGGCAGGACATGAATACGGGCAGAGTATTCATATTTTTAATAAATGCATTTAATTTTGACAAGAGAGGCTGTGCAGCAGCCACTTTGTTGAACATTTATTTGCAATTAATGTGTTGGAAGGAAGATGACATAACCTGCAGTTGTGTCAGAGCAGGGAACATTCAGCTCAGCAGAGACAGACTTGGTGTGAGCCTCACACTGAGCATTTCCAGCTTTATCACTGGGAAATGGAAGGGAAAAACCTGGATTTTCCTGCATCCAGTGTGAAAAGCAAGAGCAGTCAGCTCTGATGTGCCCCAGTGTCACTGCAGGCTCATTTCTGTATTTTTGGGATCCTCCAGGGCTGACCCAGCTCCTCTCCTCCCTTGGCCACTGTCCAGGGAGCGCTCACAGTTGAGATTTGAATTGCAATCATCAATTAGCTGATAATCACTATTGGTGGAACGATGTGTGCAGGGTTTAAGACAGTGCAGTGGCTGGAAATGGAGCCATTTGTCAGGGCTGTAATGGCCTTTTTATGTGCACAAATTTTTAAACACAATTTCATAAAGAGGCTGCCACGCTCCGTGATTTACCGGGGCAGTAAAAGATAAAGAAATTACCCGAGGAGTAGATGATCTCTGTGCATTGAAATCCTGGGAGTTAATAGAAATATCTCTGTTAACTCCAGGGATTTTAAAACTTTTTCCTAATGGCTGTTTGTTCCCTGTTTCATTGCTAGAAGATGCTGAACCTCCCTGGTTGTTGCTCCCCTTGTTTCACAAGTTACCTGCAAGAATCTTGCATATTCAAAAGCAAAAAGTGACAGAGCCATGAAGAGATTTTAATCTTTGGCAGATGGTGTGGAGAGTCAGTTCAGCTTCTCCTCTGGCAGTAAATGGGAAAAGAGCCCACACTCCATGGCTGTTAGGAACAGGCCATGTTTAAAATGAATGGATTAATTGGGCAAGTAATGATGTATAGAACAGCTCTGTGCTAGCACGGGAGCACTTGTGAATTTACTGCTGAAATTCAACCAAGCCTTTGCATCTCCTTTATGTCCCCAGGGGTGATGGGAGAGTATGAGCCCAAAATAGAAGTGCAGTTCCCAGAAACGGTTCCATCTGCGAAAGGAACCACGGTGAAACTGGAGTGCTTTGCCTTGGGCAAGTAAGTTTGGATCCATTATTATTATTAATTATTATTCCTGCAGCTTCTCAGGCTGCATTTGTGGAGCTTGCAGCGGTTCCTAATGATCCACTTCCCCCAGCAGGAGTTACTTGTGGCCAGTTTTCACAGCAGCCACAGGGCTTGGGGAGTGTGAACATTGGCAGTGCTTCCAAAATGTTGGCACTGGTAGGAAAATCATCACAAAATGGATGGTTTGGGTTGGAAGGGACCTTAAATCCCATCCAGTGCTAACCCTGCTTTGGCCAGGGCACTTTCACTGCCCCAGGGTGCTCCAAGCCCCAGTGTCCAACCTGGCCTTGGGAGCAGCCACAGCTTCTCTGGGCAACCCTGTCAGAGAACCCCCAGCCTCAAATGGATGTGTTTTTACAGCAGAACCCCAAATTCAGCTGGATCAGACCAGCATTTTAATGATAAAATGATTATTATTTTAACAATAAAATGTCTGATACACCACAATAAACACATTTATATTCATGTTACCTTTATCCCACCCATAATAAAACCCCTCTGAATCCTGTGCCAGGCCCACAGCTCCTTCTTCCAGCCTCTGCTTTGTGTTCCCTCCTCAGCCCAGTGCCCACCATCAGCTGGAGGAGGGCGGATGGGAAGCAGATCCCCAGGAAAGCCCGGAGACACCGGTCCAGCGGGCTCCTGGAAATCCCCAATTTCCAGCAGGAGGATGCCGGGCTCTACGAGTGCGTGGCTGAAAATGTGAGAGGGAGGAACGTGGCACGAGGGCAGCTGACATTTTATGGTAAGCAGGCTGCCTGCTCCCGGGGCTTTTATTGAAGTCGGTGCAATCTGCAGTAAATATTTTGTGGGGAGGTAATTTTGCGAGGATATTTTTGAAATTACTTCCTTTTCAAACGGCACCTTTGGAGAAGGGGGTAATTTGAAATAAAACCTGGCTGAATGGTGCATATTAATTGAGAATCAGAGCAGCTGGAACAAAAACACATCCCTGGAAGGACATTGGCACGGAAACATGATGGAAATGCTTGGAAAGGGCTCTTTTGCCTTCTCGTGGCTGGGAGGGCGAGGCAGGAAATCTGGGGGAGCATCCTCGTGTTGCAGCTCGGGGTTTACGATGTGTGGGTTGCCCCAGCTTTCGTGGATACATGTTAATTGGTGATAACCAATTAAGAACTGCTTTCAAGGGGACCAGTGGTTGGGATTTGCCACTGGCAGGGCAGAGCCCTCTGCCCTCAGAGGCTTTCTGCACCTGCTCTTCCCTGGCTGAAAGCAGAGCCCATGAGCCAGGCACTGTAAAATGCCAAATTTCAGCTTCCTAGGCCTGCTCTGGTAAACAGAGGATGCATTCATCCCTCTGATCCTGGTGCTCATCCCCAAATTTCTGCTGGGAACAGCCCCACAAAGCAAACCCAAAGTGTGGCTTTACCTGTGCAGGGTGAGTGGGAGCTGCTGGGAGGGGATTCAGGGACACTGGGGCTGGGTTTGGTACCAAGGTTCTGTTGGAGATGTTTTGGAGAGGAGAAGCTGCAGGTTCCACAGGTGTGCAGAGACCTCCATAGCATCAAACAAATCCTGGTTTTATTGCTGCCCTGTTCCCATCCCATGATATTCTTTATAGAATATACAGACAAAAATTCAGTTTTCTCCCCCAAATGCTCCTGAGGGCCCAGCTCCTGTCAGCAGGGAAGATTGGGTTGAACTCCCAGAGATGAGGAGAATGCTTTTTGATTTATAATATTTTTGCCACAGAAAAAGAGTTTGGGAACCAACCCTTCTGGCAACACTGAATTGAATTTGGTGGGTAATATAAGGTTTTTTTAAAAAGTAAGGATGTTTTCAAATTGGAAATATTTCTGAAAGACATTCCATTTGGAAATCAGAACTTTGGTGGTTTCCATTTCAAATGAACATTTCTCCTTTCAAAACTGAGGGAAATATAAAATGAGAAAACATTAAAAAGGCGTGAAAGAGCAAGAACAAAGTGAAATCTTTCATGTTAAAGCAAGAATCCGGGGTTGATTTGAAGGGGTTTTAATTTTTTTAATTAGATGATTTAAAGATTCCTTTTTCTGTGCTGTTTCTCCTGCTTTTCCCCACGTGGAGAGTAAATTAAAAGACTCATCAGTTGTACAGCTTTGCTCTACCCACGGCCAAAGCTGCCTTCCTTGGAAAGCAGCAAACGGAGCCTTTGGAGCACTCCCACTGTGGCAGATCTTGAGTTAGAATCTCATTGCTGAAATGAATTTACTGCTCTGGATCCTACACAAAAGCTGCTTTTCACACCCATCGTGGCATTTCAGCAGAGAAGCTCGAGGGTTTTTGGGAAGAGGAGAGCCCTGCTCTCAGTCTGTCAAGCTGGGAAATCTTTCTGTCTCCTCCCTGGGAATGGAGGAATTCCCCGTGGAGAGGTGGCAGCCTCCCCTGTTGATGGTTTTAAAGATAATTCACTAAAATATCATCCTTGTTGTCTTCTCCTTTTCCAGGGAAGTAGTTGGTTTTTAAGGATAACTTGTGTTTTGTAGCCAGTACTGAAAATAGATGTCTTAAAAAAATAACCAACTTGCATTCTGTACTCTGGGATCTGGAGTTTTGCATGGCAGCAAAATTTTTTAGGGGAAGGAAACTTGTTGTAAACTTTTATACAAATAGTTGGGGAAAAGAACATAATTTTCCTTAATTATTTGGTTTAAAGCTGACAAGTGTTATTTCATTATTGAAATACTGTGATGGTGGCAGAGCTTTCAAGTTGCTTTTTGGAAGGTCAGGGCTGCTGCCTGGAGAAGGAAAAGCACTGGAGGTGCTGAGAGGTGCAGGTTTGAATGGATTTGAGGAAGAAATTTTTTATCATGAGGGTGGTGAGGCACTGGCACAGAATTCCCAGAGCAGCTGTGGCTGCCCCTGGAGGAGTCCAAGGCCAGGCTGGACAGGGCTGGAGCACCTGGAACAGTGGGAGGTGTCCCTGCCATGGCAGGGGGCACTGGGAGGGATGTAAGGTCCCTGCAGGTCACAGTGAGGCAGCACCACTCCCTTAAATCCCGTTACCAGCCTCTGTGCACTGCACAGAGTAAGAAAAGAGAAGAAAAAGAAATTCAGATTTGCTCACTCACTGTAGATAACCCAGTGCTGTCAGCTCCTCTCTGTGCCCCTGGAAGTTGTCAGGGGAGGTTGACTCATGCTGTATTTCACTCTTGTACCAGCGTTTATTGTCTCCTCCGTTAGCATATCAGTGACACTGGAGTTGTTTGACACCCTTGTTGCAGCAGAAAACGTTAATTAAACGTGCAGGAGCCGTTCTTGCAGCATTTTCTGTCTCTGAGCCCCTGCACCAGGCTGTGTTTCACTGCTCTCCACAAGCATTAGCTCCAGGGCTGAGTCCCCCTTGATGGATCGACCTTCCCGTGGAAACATGTTCCTGGTAATGCAATTACAGCCACTTACTTCTGTTTCCTTGACTGATGGAACTCTGAAGGACACATCTCCTTGCTGGCTCTCTCGTTCTCCCTGCTGTCCCTGCCTCAGGTTAATTCCAAAGGCGCCTGCTGGCATTCTCGGGGCTGTCCCCTGCAGGGCCAACAGTTGCACTTGTTCCTTGTGGGTTTCCTCCAGCTCAGAATATTCCCTGAATTACCAAATTAGACAGCACAGCCTCCTCTTTTCCACCTTTTAGCAGCTCTGACCACTGCTGCTGCCCTCCTGAGCTGGCAGCTTGTTCCCTGTGCCAGCTGACTCCCGTGGCCGAGGCAGGTCAGGTCCCCAGCGGGACACAGGGTTCACTTCTCCCAGTTTCTCCAGTTTGTCCCAGTTCCTCCCTGCAACGAGGGCCTTCCACACCCTCAGCTGTGTGTTTTGGGATGCACTCCCATTGACCTGATTGTATTTTTAATCTGGCTGCTCATAAATTTTACATTTGCAAACCCTCTGCAGGGCTAGGATTTATATCCTGAGCAAACAGCAATGCCAACAATTATTTTTTTCCCTGGCAGAAGTACAGTAAACAGATTACCTTAATCAGCTAATTTAAAAAGAAATTGCCTTTTTGTTCATAAAACTGGCATCAAGGAGATGCTTATTTATTATTGATGTTTAATTCATGGTAAGTTTAGATGCTGTTTCAGCCCAATCTTCTTTTGTTGATATTTTTGACCCCAAAGCTGCTCATCCCTGGGTTTGAACTCCTTGGGCTCTGCTTCCCTGTATTGACTCTGATGAGTCAATGCAACATCTCGAGATCCCCTTTCCCAACAAAATATTTACCCTGAATAACAGAAAATCTGAAATCTTGCTGCTGGTTGAGGTGATCCAAACATAAACGAGTCCAGTGGGGCTGGGAGCAGCAGCACTGGGGAGGGCTGAGGAGCTGCACCACCACTGAGAACGTTTGTTTCCCAGGGTTTTGACTCAAAACATGGGATTTGTCCCTGGCTTTGCAGTCAGATCCACTCTGGGAAATATCCAAGCTCCAAAGCAGCTCAGTGTGAGCCAGCACGGGTGCAGGTGCTGACTCAGCATCACCGGTGCTGCTCCAGCATCTCCCATCCTCTCCTGCCCTGGCAAGCCAAGGAAAGGAGGAAAGAATCGCAGCTCAAATGTTTTCCAAAAGTGTCAGCACAGCAGCATCTGCATTAGCAGACAGACAGACTTCCCTGCCACTAATTACAGTTCTTTGCAGCGTTTTCTGAGATATTCAGCAGAACCAGTTTAATTGGCTGGGCCCCTTTTCAGATTCAATCCTTCTCAAATCCAAATCCCACCAGGAATTTGTGAGGCTCCTTCATTTTGCAGTGAAAAGGGTCCCCCTTTCATCAGCAGGCCCGTGTTTTATTTTATATAAAATAAATATATTTTATTTTATTTATTATAAAAGCCACTTTCTGCCACTCTGTGAAACAGCCTCAGATGTAAATCAGATTATGTTCTTCATTATGGCCAGAGGTCTAGAAAAGAAATTTGCACAAGTGAAAATCAGGCAGTTTTATGTCTGCTCAGTTTAGCTCCCAAATCAAAAATAATTTCCTGAAAATTTGAATAAAGTGAGTTTCTAGGCTGATAAAAATACAAGAAAAATCCTGTGAATAGGGCAAGTGTATTATTGTATTATTACTATGTTATTATTAATTATCTTTCACATCACCCACTAGAAAACCCTGTTGTCACCTTTTCCACAGGTAAAAGTTAGTACAGGGAGGAGTTTTGAATTCTTTGCTGCCCAAGGGAAGTCTTGCATCCAGAACAACTCCCTGCACAGGGCACAGCCGTGTTTCTCATCAGCTTTTCCTTTTCCAAGGCATTGCTGGAACCCTGCTTACAGAGAAATCCAAGCTTTGGAGATTCAGAAAAAGTCTCATATTATTATCATTGCTGCTTGGAGAAACATCTCTCCAGCAGGAGAATCAAAAATACAAATAGGGTGAAACACAAATAGAAATGAAATATGAAGGCTACTCAGAACACCCCCCACCTCCCTTACAGCCCTGAGCAGCTGCAGTTCAGTGTCAGGATGAAAAATAACTAAACACATGAGGATGGGTCCCTGTGGATGTATCTGTAACACCCACAGCCCCCAAAAACTGGGGGGAAAATCCTGTGATGGTGCAGAACAACTCATGGAACAGGACAAAAATGAGAGGAGGGGACAACTGACGTGTTTTTATCAGCTGGGTTAACTCCTTCAAATTTTCCTCTGCTTCTTTTCCTCTGGTGTTTCATATTTTAGTGCCAAGCAGCACTCCCAGACTGGGTTAGTAGGGTCAGTCTTGTAGAGTTTCCAAAGACTGAGCCAAATGGAGATTTTTTAGGTACAACGTTCCAGCAGATTGGTTTGGTGTGGGATTTGCACACCTTTAGGTTGTACAGATTTCACACAGTCCTTAGCTGGCAGTAGAGGTCAGGAGGAAGGAAAGGAAGAGAGAGGAAAGGTACCTTGAGGTTTGGTTTCACATCCCTGTGATCTTTGGGAAGGAAACAGATCAGGATGGGAGGGGTTTGTGCACAGGAGCTGTCCCCATTCGGGGCAGGATCACTTACCTGCACAAGCCTTACACGCTGGCTGCACTCTGCATTTCCAATTACTCATCCATTTTTCCCATCTGGTTGGGGTTTTTTCCACTTCTTTCACTTGGCTTTCTGCTCTTTAGACTGTTCTGATCCTGGGCTCAGTCTCAATCTCCTTAGAATAGAGATGGTAATGGACAAGTCATTCAGCCTTTCATCTGCCATTAATGATGAATTACACAGCCTGCACCACGTCCTCAGCTGCTAGAAATTGGCTTAGGAACACTGAAATCAATACACACCAGCAGAGAATTGGATTCTGGATATGTATTAGCACCTCATTTGCTTGAGTCTTTTTGGGTGTTTTGAACTCACAGATGATTGCAGAGTCCTACAGGTTTATGTCTCGTATTTCTCCCTTACTTCTGGGGCTTTGTCACTCATTTCTGAGGTGATACATCATCACCTGCCACGTCATTTCATTTTCAAATATCTTTTAGGACATGATTTCCTCTTCCTACTTTTGCCTTTTCATTCATTACAGTGAAGGACAGACTGCCCCTGGAATTTTTTTGTCTTAGAGAAGTAAGAATATATTTGGGCATATTTTCCTATTCACCTGGTTTTAACTGTCCCACTTTGTGTTGGTGAAGACTGAAAAGTGATCAAAGGTAAACAGGGATTTTTTCTCACTACTTCCATCACTTTTCTTCTGTTCCCCTGAGTACAAACTCCAGACATCTCTCATCTCCTAGGAGGGGGAGATTTTTCTTTAAAGCAATCCTTATGTAAGAGTCGTGCTTATATCTCTAAGCTTTTTCTTTACTTTATAGATTCAGCATATGAATTTTGCTTGCAACTCAGATGAATTCTTAATCAGCTTCTGGATTTTTCCTCCAGGATGTTTCCAAGGCCAGTACTATCTTAAGTACTCCAAGCAGGGCCAAAATATTTTCTATAATATAATTTCTCTTTGGTCAGTACCCCTGAAACGATCCAAAGGACATTTTTTTAGACCAGTCACAAATAAAACCTTGTCATTATCTCCGAGAACATCACTTTACCAGAAAATGTCGTAGAGAGGAGCTGGTTTCATCCCCTTATTTGAATTATTTTAATTATCATGCCTGAAATCTCGTGTCGTGTTACCTTGGTCTGATCCCCAGTGGGCGCCTGTCAAATTCCATTAGGTTGTGGCCACTCTCCTTTGGTGGCTCACACAGATTTGCAGCGTGAGCCAACCCCTGAGATTCCCCAGGATGAAGCCAAGAGCTTCTCTCTGCACTGAGCTGTTGAGAGGAGAGCTTGACCTAATTAGAAAAGGCTCCCAAAGAGCAGCAGAGAACAAACTCCTGCCAAACAAACCACTCAGAGCTTTTCACTGTGATGATTTTTTGACCTCTGATGCTCATTCTGGAGTTGTCTGCACCATAAATGGCTTTGGGATTGGGAATGTGACCGGTTCAAGCAGCTGGAGGGGGTTAGGGTGGGGTGGGGTGGGGGCTCTGGGTGCTGCCCCAAAGGGTGACCTGAATTTGGGGGTGGCAGATCCCAGCACTGCACGTTCCAATCTCAGCACTCAGGGCAGGAGTTGGGATGAACAACCAACAAACTACCCCAAGAAATGCATTTTGGAGAGAATTTTCCTTATTTAGGGGAAATTTATTATTTCCTTTATTTGGGGAGTCTGTTCAAAATGAGGATGAATTCTGAATTTTCTGTCCTCCTCTCCACAGGAGTTATCTTTGTTTTTCCATAGCACACACATAGGTTATAGAGCACAGCTTCCCATTCATGGCTTTTCTTGACTTGCAGATTAATTCCAGTTGTTTTGTCTGGGTTGATTTTTTTTCTTTTTTTCTTTTAGCTTTGTTTTCATGTGGGAAATCTGTAAAACAGCACAGCAAAAATAAAAAAGGCAAATGGATGTGTGTGTGTTTTATAGAGCTCCTTTCATGGGATCATAAAATTCCCTTCAAAATGATGAGTTAGATGCTGTTAGAATAGTAAATATGTAAATTCATGTGTAATTTGCAAATGTCCTTGAGCCACTGAATTGCTCAGCTCGATGGAATTGTTCAAGTTCTTACTCCAGATGACAGAACTGACTTTCATCTTCCTGCATTTAAAGGCTTTCCCTTTCCTGTCTCTTTAGATACAGACAATAAACAAGCTTAAAATATTACAGGGGCAGGAGGGGCAGCCAGAGAAATAAACACCACTCACTTCTCCTTTTTCTGCTGCAGCACCAGGATGCTCAGTTCACCTCTTTTTCTGGAAATCCCTTGGAGATGAGGTGCTGTGGAAAAGTCTCCACTTCATCTCAGCTTTGCAGGCAGGTTCAGGGTGCCAGGGGTGGGCTTAAACACATCCTGAGCTCTCTGAATTTGTGTTTCCATCATCACAGACATACCCCTAGCTTGGGTAGAATCATGCCAATTTGCCATTTGGATGGGATATTTTAACATTTATCCTTTCAAGTCCATCTCTGGCCCCCTGTTCCTGTCCAAAGGAGATGTCTAAAGTTGTTGCCTGGCTTTGAGGAACCTTAATTTTTTCTTTTATCTGATTACATGGGGAAAAGTATTAATCAGGTTCTTGGAGACCTCTGCTGGTAACACATCCTGCTAAGTCAGATGCTCTTATGTCAAAATAGGGCAAATTCCCATTAAAAAAATCAGAGTTCTATTGTTTAATGGGACTTTCTGAAAAGTAATATAATATATGAAAATACTATTAATAATAAGATCTTAAATAGATAGTATTGTATATTGTAGATATATTTGCACAAAAGGTAACTCTAAAGAAAGTCTGAGGTTTTGTGTGATCTTCAAAACCAATTTTAGTGGAATTTAGTGGAATCTGGCTAAACTTAAACTCTATTTAATTTTTTTAAAAAAAGCCAACAAAGTGATAAAATTATGTGAAACACAGTTAAAAATACAATCTCACAAGTGGCTGAAAACTGCCAGCGCTAGTTTTCACCAAATTCTACCAAAATGTGTCTCCAATACCTGCTTGTGGCCTTTCTGGGTTTATTCAGTGTCATTAATACAATTATTACAAATATTGTTTTGTTCCTGTGGCAAGACATGGAGATCCGGCCATAATCAAGACAAGACTGAGAGCCTGGACCTGAAGTAGTGCCTATACCCATGCAGAGTTACTGGAATAACCTGAATTTCAGTGAACTCATTCTAAACTACAAGAACTCATTCTAAATTACAAGTTTTGAAGTCAGAAGCTAAATTTCAGAGCTTTGAAGCCCAAGTTATAGAGACCCTGAGGAGGAAAATGTCTCTGTTTGAAGGACTGGGTGTGTACTTACTGCTTTGTTTTTGTAGGATGAGCAGGGTTTCTGAGGCTACTCTTTCTCTTTAGGGGTTTTTACTAAAAAGAAAATAAAAGCAGGTTCTGGTCTTGCCTGTGCCACCTTCAGAAAGCAGCACTGGACTCGAGGAAGAGCAGTAATCTTTTGCAGTTCTTATGATGCCTTTTGGGGCTACCTAAAAACAGAGGCCAGGCAGAATTAAGGGAATAAAAAGCAGTTCTGTTCATTGAAGGCCTGCAGGGACATTTAGGGCAGACAAAGCCCCCCAGGGGCTGCACCCAGAAATGGACCACAGGTTTCACACTTTTATAAGTTTGGTCCATTTGCATTTTGGGGGTTGATTTTCCAATTCCAGCTGCAGGTAATGAAGTCATTTAGCCCAAGTTTGGTGCCCCAACTCCCTTTTGTTTCCATCTCTGGGGCCTGAGGCAGTGAGGTGTCCTTGATTGCCAGGCCTGGAGAGGAATTGCTGTGTCTGCCCAAAGTGGGGAAGCAGCAGCTGGCACTGGGTGTGGAGTTTGGAGTTCTGCACTAAAGAACTGCAGGGTTACACAGAGATGGGAAATAGAAAAGCTGAAATCCTGACGTTATCAATCCCAGTTTTAAACGTTCTGCCGAGGGAAGAAGAGGCCGTGTGGCAGCCCAGAGCTGCTGCTCCAGGCTCCAGGCTTCCCTCCCTCTTTCCTTGCAGCCCAGCCCAGCTGGACCCAGCGCATCAGCGACGTGCACGCGGCCATCGAGGAGCGCGTGTCCTGGGAGTGCCGCGCCAGCGGCCGCCCCAAGCCCTCCTACCGCTGGCTCAAGGATGGGGAGCCCCTGCTGCCACAGGTAGGCACTGCTGGAACCCCCTGGGCGTGGGCTCTGTGGGTGCTGGGGTGCTCTGCCAGCTCTCTGATCTCTGGGTGTTTTGTTTATTTTGGGATGGGGAGGATGGAGGTGCTCCGAAATCGTGGAATCTCAGAATGGTTTGGGTTGGAAGGGACTTTCAAAGTCATCTTGTTCCACACCCTGCCACTTTCCACTGTCCCAGGCTGCTCCAAGCCCCATCCAGCCTGGCCTTGGACATTCCCAGGGATCCAGGGGCAGCCACAGCTTCTCTGGGTACCTGTGCCAGGGTCTCCCCGCCCTCACAGAAAATCCCCTGTTCCTTCCCGTGCCTGGTGGCACCTCCCTACAGCTCCAGGAGCTGCTGGCGGGGACAAGCAGGACACACAACAGCTCAGAGCTCCTCCCCAAAATGAAGGATCCATGATGCAAACCTAAGGCTGGAAAGAAGAAGAAGGAATGGCTGAATGGGGTTTTGGAATCTGTCACCAGAGAAGGATCACCCCAAAACAATTATTTTAATTGGTGATGTTTAGGTGAACTCCAGGTGACAATGAAACCTCAGGGTTTCCTGCTGGTGTTTAATGGTGTTCCCACTCCTCCTGCTGAGCTGTGTCCCTGTGCAGGAGCTGTGGAATTACACCCCTCCTGCCCAGCCTGTCCTGGAGGGTCATCACGCAGTCCTGACCCCACCCTGGCACCACAAACTCAGCCAAGTCACCAAAGCTTTGCTTGCACAGTAGCCAGCCCTTTTCCCCCTTCACTTACTGTGAAAGGACATGGCAGCCCCAATTTGATCAGACCCTGACTAAAATTGCACAAACATTAAATTTCTGCCCTAAGGCCAAGTAGAAAACCAATAGCTCTTTATTTTAGATTTTTTTTTTTATTTTTTTTATTTTTTAATGTCAAACTCCTGGGGAGGGAGGGAACACTTTGCTGTACTTATTAGAATTGATAACTCGAGCTCCATATCCTCGGGCTGACAAATGATAGCCTGGTCTTTCACTCCACACACTAATTCTGGTTGCTTCACGCTGGTCACTGGCAGATGGTCTTGTTCTTAAATCATGTCAGTGGCTGATATGAAGTAAAGGATCATTAAATTATTAGCATTTACATTGTTTTCAGTAAACTGCAGAAGATTTTAAGTGTTTCTGTCGGTGCTGGCTGAGATGGGAGCCACTCTTACCAGCCTGCATTGCTATATACACTCAAAATGGGCTCGAGCTGTGCCAGGGGAGGGCCAGGAGGAATTTCTCCATGGAAAGGGTGAATTTCTCCACTGCCCAGGGAGGTGTGGAGTCCCCATCCCTGGAGGTGCCCAAGAAACACCTGTATGTGCCATTGTTCAGGTGCTATGGTGGTGTTTGGTCACAGGTTGGACACAATAATCCTGGAGGTCTTTCCCATCCCTAATGACTCTGATTCCATGGAAATGTCATTGTTTTAAATGTTTCTGAGGATAGGGCTGGCTGTGATGTGCCACTGTGGAACAGAAGTGCATTTCCTGCTTCGAGCTTATCTCCTTGAAAGGGATATTAATCTAAATGCTTTGGGTATTAAATCAATGAGGGGTCAAGGGAAAGTCCTCCAATTTAAATTGCATTTACCAACTCCTGTATTGGTTTTACCATTTAGTCTCCAGCCTGACATAAATTTGGCTGGCAGACAAATAAATCGGGGCATGCAAATTCCTCCAGTTACTTCCTTTCATCCACCTCCCTACAAAACACAGCTGGACAGCTCTGGGTGTTTGTTCTGAGGAGGCTTCTCCTTGTTGATTTGGAGTTGGTTTTGCTGTTCCCCCAGGGCAGGGTGCAGCTGGAGCAGGGCTCTCTGACCATTCCCAACGTGAGCCTGTCGGACGCGGGGATGTACCAGTGCGTGGCGGAGAACAGGCACGGCGTCATCTTCGCCAGCGCTGAGCTCAGCATCATCGGTGAGTTCCCCGAGCACTGCAAACCTCCCAAACCCTGCCCAAGCTGCAGCACCTGAAGCAGAAGGGGATCTTTGACGATTTGTTTTTAAGGAAGGAGTGAAAGGGAAACTTGAGGCAGTGGAGAGAAGAGAACAGATGTTTTTTACTTCGTCCCGTATTCCCATTTTCCTCCAGGAGCTGGCAGGTGCATCCACTCTCCTGCTGGTTAAAGCCTGTTTATGGAGAAACCTGAACACTGCCACTCAGAGCACCCAGGACCATAAATGCCATAAAAATAAACATAAATGGGCCATAAATCTCTGGCTGCAGAGGTGACTGTGCTCAGGACATGCTGACAAACCTCCCCTCTGAAGAGACCTTTCAGCAATCTAACAGCAACCAAAATGCTCCCATCCCAGAGAAAAGCATCTTCTAGCTCACAGTTCTGTGCACAGCTGCTCTGCTCCTCCCAGATAAAATCAGGAGAAGCTCATGTGAAACCAAGTGGGGAAATTCCTGAGGGGAGGGAGCAGAGGTCACAGAGCCAGAATCATCTCAGGGGTGCCAGTGCCGGGGACAGGAGGCAACGGCCACAAACTGAACCCTGGAAATGCCACTTAATATAACAAAAACTTTATTTTGAGGTTGGTTGGACACTAAAACAAACTGTCCAGAGATATTGTGGCATCCCTGTCCTTGGAGACGCTCAACACCCAACCAGCCACAGCCTGGGCAGCCTCCTGTAGCTGCTCCTGGTTGAGCAGGGGTGGGGTGGGACATGCCAGAGGTCCCTGCCAGGCTCAGCTCAATCCCAAACCATGCTCTTGTACGAGTGGCAGCCCTGGTCAGCGTGGGGATGTCGTTTCTAAGGGTTAAACACAATTCCTGGTTACAAAATAATGTTTTAGTTGCTCTCAAACCAAATGTTCAGTAGCAGCATTCCCTGATTTATCCTGAAGAACAAGGCATGAGGGTTTTTCCAGCTATGGGATTTTCAATTATTGGTCATTTTTTATCATCAGTGATAGATGCCTACATAGGAAAAAAATTCATTTGAAGGATTGTCTGTGTTGCTGCTGGAGAAAGGTACGATAATGCTCAATAAATTAGACTTCACAATGCTGAGATTTATTGGGCATGAAAGAAATCGAAATAAACCCACTGATGCTTTTCTGGTCTATTTAAAACCTGGTAAAAATGGAGCTTTTGGAAGAAGGGAGATGTTTTCAGAGGAGAGAGGTTTCATCCTTGTTGGTGGGGACTGCCAGGGTGTCCCTGTGCCCAGCAGCAACTCGTGGCCACAGAAAAAGCAGATTTTGGAGAGTCTGGTCTGAGAAACCTGTCAGGGAATATTTATTTGGCCAACTTCTCACTTGGGTTCTGCAGCTCTGTTTCTGTCTGTCACAGGAAAAGCACCCAAATGGAGTCCTACAGATAAATTCCTGTGATTTCCTGCATCTGTGATTTAACTTGGCACACTTTGAAAGGAAAGCAGCAGGTTTGCCTTTTCACTGGAGTTTCAAAGCAGGGCAACATTCTGAGCCCTCCCTGGGAAATTTTAGCTTTTAACCAGATCTGAGTGCTAAAATGGTTATTTTAAAAGGTCCTGAAGTTAAGCACTTGCTACTAGTGGTGTTTAATCATCTCAAGTGAGATTTACAGCAAAATTAAGTGAAAGAGAGAAATGGAAAATTACGGACCAAGCTTTTCGCACAGTGATTCTTCTCAATTATTGTTGCCAGTTATCTTGCCTGGAGTCTTAAATAAAAGCAGAATCCAGTGGTGCTGGACATTGTGTTTTAGATACAGTCTTGTCTTACAGAATTTTCATTAAATGCTTAAAAAACAAATTGAAAAAATGAAATGTGGGCCTAAAGTGGGAAAAAAAGGTCATCAAAATCCCCACTTGACAAACAAAAGGTGAATAAATCAAATTCATTACTCCTGAAGTGGCACAGGGAAGTTGTGATAGTGCTAAGAAATGAGCCCAGAGTTTCTAAATGTCAAATGATGACGTTTTGAACGTCACAGAATAAAACCCACAGTGAGCAACTCCTGTGTCTCACACAGGAGCAAGAAAATGCAGCAAATTACTCACAAAAAACCAGTCTAAACTGTTTATTACCTAGATGGGAGTAAAAGGATTATTCAGAAAGTCTCTTTTGCTTATATGTTTGGGACAATCATCTGAGAAATTCATTTCAGAGGTGATAATTTATTAAAAATGATATAAATAATGGTGGTTTTGGTTCTGAGTGCATTGGTAGGAAGTGTCCTCAGGATGTCTCCTTTAATTCTGGAGTGTTTTACAAAGCCAGTGCTGGCTTCAAAGATTTTTTTATAGTGTTTAAGATCTTTGTATATTAATTAAATATATTATAATATTATATATTATTATACATATAGTTAAATATATTAATATTTTATACAGTGTTTAATACTTGTGTTTCTGAGTGCCAAAAATCATTCTCACCCTGTGATTAGGAAACAAAACAGCTCAGAGATCAGTGAACTCTGTTTTGGGAACTTGGAGCACTATTGGATCATAAAGCCCATCCCATTTTCAGTGTGGGATTGTGCTCCCTTCAAAAAGTGTCTTTTTGCCCCATCCAGACTCCCATAGTTCATGAATTCCAAGCATTTAGGAATTGTCAGTGAGAAACAGCCCTGGAATCTTGTGATGTTCAAATGAGTCTGACTTTGCTTTTCCTGCGGGAATTCTGATGGGGTTTGTGTCGGTTTTGCTTTCAGCCATCGGTCCAGACTTTTCCAAAACTCTCCTGAAGAAGTTAACTCTTGTTAAAGTGGGTGGTGAAGTCATCATTGAGTGCAAGCCCAAAGCCTCCCCCAGACCTACTTATTCTTGGAAGAAAGGAAAAGACATCCTGAGAGAAAATGAGAGGTAATGTCTTAAAGGAACCATTTCTTTCATTAACTAACCCAGGGACTTTCAGCAATCAAAGCTAAATTTGTCATTAATAGCTTTGCAAAATTGACTTGCAAATACATGAGGAAACAGCCTGTGTTCAATCCCAAGGAGCTGGGGGTGAGATTCCTATTCCCATGGTGCCCATCCCATCTCTGTCTGCTATTTTAAAGCATCCCTGACAAGAACCTGATAAAGACGCACTCCAAAAAAACAAATATTTTGCCTCTGCAGTGTCCTAAATACCCATTGTTTAAAATAAATAAATAAATTCCCAGGAGATAAAAGCCTCCACTGCAAATTGCACAGCTCTGGTACATTACCCAGTGTCCTGCAAACAGGAATTATTTGGGGGCAATAATTAATTTGACAGTTCTAATGCCTGACTTGAAGGTGGCTTTCCCAGACTGGCCAAATGATTTTTTTTTCTTTTTTTCTTTTTTCTTTTTATTTTTTTTAATTCAAAAGCCAGCTTTTCAAATCCTCCTCTATGGTGATGATTTGTTGTTGGCTATGTAGAGGTGAGGTTGTGTCACCTGCCCAGCACCTGAGAGCAGGACATGGAAAACTGTCCTTGACACTCCTCCAAAACATGATGTGGCACTAGGATTGATGGGGAGAATCCTGTCCTATTAGTAAAGCCAGAAATTGCAGGAAATTGTTATATTTAAAAGCTTTAACCTGTTAGAGCTGTTCTTTAATCTTGGAAAGTCTAATCTTGCTCCACCCAGCCTGTAAAGTCCATTGAAATAGAGACTGTGGTGCTGTGTCTGAGAGTGCAGAAAGCACCAGTTCATTTCGAGGCAGGTGATTAAAATATTGAACATCCTGTTTCTGGCATGTTTATCTCCTTTCCCTGATCCTTACAAAGCTGTTTTCTGTGGCCTGCTTGCTTCACCCCTTGGGATGAAAGGAGTTGCTGATGGATGACACAGAGCTTCCTTTAGCAGGCAGGGCACAGAGCTGCTGAGGTCAAAGTTGTCATAGATCAAGCTGTATGGATTTTTAAAACAGAAATAACCTGTTCTCCTGGTGAGGGAGGTGCCAAGGGCTGGAGGGTTTGGTTCTGGAGGGTTTGGAGTGTCAGCCCCACCGGTTCTGGGGGGTTTGGAGTGTCAGCCCCACCGGTCCCGTCAGTGTCCACGGTCCGTGGCTGGATGTGCTGCCTGCTCTGAGGCTGTTCCCCTTGGCACAGCGCAGTTCCTGCTCCTCGCTTTAGTTTGGGAGTGGGATTGCCCAGCAGGGTTGTGGCAGTGGTGGGAGGAGGGTGCTGGGCACAGCCTGGGCTCGGGGTGAGCCCAGCCAGGAGCGCTGCGGGCTCTCGTGGCAGCGCCGGGCTCGCTCCTCCTGCTCCTGCTGAGCCACAGCCAGGAGCTTCCCGCCTGGCACCCAGCCCTAGATGGCAAACCAGACGTGAAATGTGCCCAAGCAGGTGTGAAATCTTGAGCTCCTCCAGCCCAGGGGTTTTCCAGGCAGCGGGATCCTCCAGGGGGATCACCTGGCAAAGGAACGCGTGGCGCTGCCTTGGCACGGGGACCTGCTCTGCTCAACACACACTGGGTTGTGTCTCCTGTGGGGATGAGGGTGTGGAATCCTCACCCCTGCCTTCATTCACCAGCCCAGCCCTGCAGCCTGGACCTGGAGACTGTGTCAAATGCACAGCTGGGGAATGACAGTGTCTGCTGTGGTCGTGGCACTGCTCATCAGCTCCGTCTGCAGGAGGGGCCAAGGTCCTGAGCTCTGCTTGATTCTGCTGTATTTCTGCTTCCTGTGCTTGCTGAAATGTCATCTCCTCCCTGCTGTCCCAGGGGACAGCAGCAGTGCCTGGAGCCCAGCTCCAGCATCTCTCTACACCCCCTGTTGTGCATGGACTTCAAACAAGAACTTTCTTGGCTGCTGGACAAAAAAATCTGTTGAAATCTAGGAAGGAAGATGCCAGGAAAAGCTGCTGCTGCAATCTCTTCATCTAGGACAGGAAACAGAACTTTTAGACAGGCATGGGAGAAGAAACTCCAGTGAAATCTCTGTTTAAAGTGATGAAGGATCCTGTGAGTACCACAGAGGCACCTGAACATCTGGATCCTTCTCCAGCCTGCAGGTTGATCACGTGGAGGTTAAACAATACAGATGATCCTTCCAGTTCCAGGGTTCCTGAATCAGTGCTTGCCTCGAATGCTGATGCCCAGCCTGATGGCTGCCCTGGCAATCACCTCAGAGTTTCTCCTGGGGCTTTTGTGGCTTTTCAGCTGGTGTGTGGTGTTAAATTCCTTGCTGCAGAACACTGTGCCTGGTTTTTGCTGCTGAGACTCTGCTGTCCAGGAGGCAGAACAAAGTGTGTCCTTCAGTGTTTGCCCAGAGAGCAGAGACTACCATGGTGGGAAAAAAAAAAAGAGCTTTATCGGTTTAGGTTTCATATTCTTCTCTGGAGGCTGAGGTAGTGTGTACTGCACCTCTAATGAACCACATGGCCTGAGGGCATCTCTTACTGGTGGTTGAGAACTGTGCAATTGTGTTATTAGGAATTCTGCCCTGGGGTACAATTATATTATTGCAGTCATTAAAGGCACTTCATCTCCATAATAATGGAAATCCTGCCTCGGAGGCCTAACTGCGTCAAAATGATGTTGGGGGCCCGACTGCAGAAGGTAAATTTGATATAGGAACAGCTCTAGCACGGGTATAGATGTATTGCAAATGCTGTTTGGAAACAAAGACTATTTCTGTGTGAGGGAAACACAGGGAGCATTTTCCATCCTTGATCTTGCCTTTGCATTGAGGTGCAAAGTGAGTGTGGGAAAGGCCTTTAGTGCTGCTCCTCACAGGGCCACTGGGAGAGCAGGAGAGGTGAGACTAAAATGTGATTAAAATGCACTTTTCCCAGGAGAGCCTCGCTCAGGACCAGGGGAATGGCCCCTGAGTTTTCTGTAGCCCACCAAAGAGCAAGGCTGGTGTCCCAACAAAGCCCCGTGGGAGAGCTGTGGGAGCAGGGGGGTTTCACACCAGGGCTGAGATGGTCCTGGGACCTGTGGTGACAAACTGGGGCTTTTGTCCCTCCTCAGCACAGCGTGAACTGGCTTTGAATAACTTGGCACCAGAGGCTGCTCAGTCAGAGCATCTTAAGGAAATTTCTCATGGAACTGGTCGGGGTTGTATTTTACTGTCGGTATGGAGTGATTTTGCTGGAGCAGGCTGGATATCATCCTGAATTACTGTAGGGGGACCTGCCTGAGCAGGGAGGTTGGCTGTGATGACCTCCAGTGATCCTTCCCAACCTGAACCATTCTGGAGCAGTTTTGGAAGGGGCTGTTCAGCCCTGCAGGGTCTGCATCGCTTCCCCTGCAAGTCTTCCCTCTTTTCTCAGGTATTGTTATGGACCTAGGCAAAGGGGTTTCCATTTCTCAGGCCATAATGGCAATAATTCCATTTATTTATTCCTCCCAGAATGAGACACAGGGACATTTCCCAGAGGTGAAGCTGTAGCATTGTGTGGTTCAACAGCAGATTCACGTTTCCTTTGCTCTTCCACAGCTTCCCACTTTTCCCCTTCTCCTTGGCTCCCCAAGAGCAGAAAGAGTGCAGAAAAAAAAAGACAACTTTTATTTAAAATATGTACACAACAATCTTAATTCCTAGTATTCTCCTAGAGCTATTGGAAGTAATATTTACCCTGCCACCAGACACGTACTCAGGCTGGGACGGAAAAATAATTGTACTTTTAAGCCCCAAAATAAATTGCACTTCCCTCATACTTCATCACATAAAGCCCCTACATCATTAGAGCTGTTTCTTTTCCATGAATGTACAGTGCCTGCATTGTTTATACAGTTTAATTGTAAGGAAAGAAATGCATAAAAAAACAAATGATGGTCTGTGCTGGTAGCAAAGAATATGAAAGTGTCCAATTAAACAACCATTCCCTATGACATGTGTAATAGCAACATCTGTTATCTTAATTAAACAAGTTTCTGTATAAAGGGACCCTCTTGGTGCACTTTGTTAGAGCGGGAGCTGACCCAGATACTCCAGGGAGGCTCACGATCCTCGTGGAAATTCTCCAGTTGGTGCCATTATCTCGCAGTCCTGACAAGCTCTCTGATGTGTGAGCTTGCACACACACAGCCACAGCACTTACAGCAGGAACTTTGTTATTTTTCTCTAGCTGAAAACCAGCAAGAGCACAGAAAGCAGCCCGTGGTGGCATTTTCCCAGCGAGTTCAGCCATGGAATGTTTGGAAGTGTAAGGAGTGCCCTGCTAACTCAGTCCTTGTCAAACAGCACTGAGGAGACAGAACTGCACTTCCAGACAGTGATTTGTTACCCAAACTGGCTTGTCTGCTCCAAGATTTCAGTCATTTGGGTCCAGATTTTCCCAGGTATTTCACCTTTCTCTCCACCATGGCCTGGAGTCAGGGCAGCCCAGGAGGGTAATTCAGTTTACAAAGTCGTGAATCCCAAAATGGTTTGGTTTGGAAGAGACCTTAAAACTCATCCTGGTGTGGATGCCATGGGCAGGGACACCTTTCAGTATGCCAGGCTGCTCCAAGCCCCATCCAGCCTGGCCTTGGACATTTCCAGGGGTGTGGCAGCCAGAACTGGTGTCCTGAAAAGGAGGTGAGGGCTTGAGACTGGGAGGGAGCAGCAGGAATGTGACAGAGCTCGGGGCTGTTCACCCTTCCCTCAGTGAAAACCCAGCCAGAGCTCCCTGAAATCCCTCAGAAGGAAGGACACCAGGCAGCTGGAGCTGGAAAGCCTCTTGGATATGTTCATACACAGCTGTGCCTCCAGGCTTCTTCACTTGGGAATGTCGATTTGTTTGTAAAGAAGAACATCATCCACAGCAGGCACTGCTTCAGAGAGGGGCTGAGGTCCTGCCCTGGGGACACCGAGCTGCTCCCCGCTGTCCTGGGACCCCTGGCACCGAGCACTGGGCATCACCAGGTGGAGCTGGAGCAGCTGAACCCCTTCTCCAGAGCTGG